TATAAAAAGAAGTACATACAGAAAATGCACAAATGCCACTTTGGATAGTCATAAACAACAAAAAGCTTGACATAAATAAGTTAGTATGATTTCCTCAGTGTTTTTTTATATTTTTTTCTTCTTTAGAAAGTAGTACACAGGTACACTTCAATGTTTTACACACGTGCAGTGTAACGTCTTCATTACATTTTTTGCCGGTTTTTACTTTTTTCTTTTTCTTTTTTTTTTTGTCATAGTGCCATGTCATGTTCATCACGAAAGCCAAATATATTGTGGCAAAGAAGTGGCTTCATGGACTAACATTGTTCTTAATTGTATGGCCCAGTGTTAAAGAAAAAAAAGGAAATATATATTTATATATACATTATGCTACACAGCAATGAATAGAAAAAAAACCCATAAAATTGACAAAAACAAAAAATAAGAAAATCAATTGGTCACTACAGTTGCACTTTTTTTTTGAATGTGTACTCAGTAGGATTTGTAGTTCATGTGAATTTGCATCTTTATGGCAAAATTAGAAAAAAAAAGAATTAATTTAAAATAAGAGAAAAAAAAAATGTGTGGAATAACCCGGGGATATAATAATACTGTAAAAAAGCATGAAAAACTTAATACCACACTAGGAGTCAGTCCCTTCAGAGAAGAACACCACATGCCCAACGTGCTATAACTTTGGCTGGTAAAATCATATACAAGTACCAATAAACATGAACGGTATTAATGCAAATATCGAATAATTTTAATGTAGCCAGATCACAGAAGGTGAAAAAGTCTGTAATGCTTTTCAAACAGTGACATTTGTGCAACTTAAAAAAATGTCCAAGGTTGTGCTGCTGCTGTTGAGCACAACACTGATACACATGAAGGTGTATTTCTGACTGTTAACATCCTGAGCCAGCCAAAACTGAGACAATGGGATTGTTAAACCTAATTAAAGGGAAATGGTGTATGTGTGTGTTTGTATTTGACACATATATATATATATATATATATATATATATATATATATATGGGCTTGTAAATATTATGTATTAATGCCTGTGTTTTACATCATGGCAAAATAAGAGAAAATAAAATTAGTGGAATAACCCGGGGATATAATAATACTGTAAAAAAGCATGAAACCCTTAATACCACACAGTCCCTTCAGAGAAGAACACCACATGCCCAACGTGCTGTAACTTTGGCTGGTAAAATCATATATAAGTACCAATAAACATGAACGGTATCAATGCAAATATCGAATCATTTTAATTTAGCCAGATCACAGAAGGTGAAAAAATCTGTAATGCTTTTCAAACAGTGACATTTGTGCAACTTAAAAAAATGTACAAGGTTGTGCTGCTGCTGTTGAGCACAACACTGATACACATGAAGGTGTATTTCTGACTGTTAACATCCTGAGCCAGCCAAAACTGAGACAATGGGATTGTTAAACCTAATTAAAGGGAAATGGTGTATGTGTGTGTTTGTATTTGACACATATATATATATATATATATACTTAAAAGGGTTCATTTTGGGGAGACGTTTTGAAAACCGCACAGCAATTCTTCAAGTCAAACGCACTCCATTTATAAATGATTGTGTTTTTTTTTTAATCTTAATATTACATTTAAATGTGCTACATATAAAATGAAAGTATATACATAGGTAGTAAAAGAACAAACGAAACTCCAATTGCACACTGCTACATTGTCTGCTTTTGAGGCAAATATATTCTGTCGAGTGCCAAAAGTTTAGTGTAAAAATTCAGTGCTTATACAGCCTCTCCAAGGCTCGATTTGTATTTTTCAACCGCTGTCCCTGTTTACTTCATAAAGCTCTTGAAGTATTTGATGGAGAAATTAGTCTTCATCCGTCTCTGCAGGGAACAAGGGGAACAAGTTGATTAGCAAAGGAAATAGCATGTCGAACGCGCTTGCAAAAACTTCAGAACGACACAATGCATGAAATAAAGGACAAAGAAAAATACGGCAACAATATTTGCGCGTAAACAAACGGCCATCTCCACGACGCGTTTAAAACAGGAGCGATAGCGCAGGACAGCGCGAATGAAAAGCGAGGAATTTTGCGCGCAAGTATATGCCTGCATTGTGAACCCAGACCCCCTCCTCCTCCCACGCGCACACCCTACAAGAGACCTGCTGACGTGTTACTACAGTGTTATGCATTTGAGTGCCGTTTGACTCGACTGTCACTTGCGCCGTGACAGAACGTCTTAAACGCGCGTTTGTTTTTAAAAGACCAAACCAAACGCTTTCTACAGTGCGAACGCGTGGACAAGCACGCGTCAAGGAACGAACATTCTTAGCGTTTTAGCGTGCAACAATAAAACTGAGAGAACAATTATATATATATATATAAAAATAACATCAGCTATGTTGAACGCGATCTTTTTAGCAATAAGTAACACGCGTTTACATCAATGCATAAAATAAGTCATGCACCAGACAGCGCGCAGCCGCGCACGAAACTCACCTTGTTTACGTTTTGGGATCCGACTTGCTGGGCGCGTGCAAACTCGTCTCTGGACAGCAGTTCGCCTCGGTCGCTTGGACGTTGGCTCTTTTGCTTTGGCAAGGAAGATCTATCGAAAGAATGAAGATTGTGTTAGAAAAGCGACTTCATTTGCGAGCTAGACCGCGAAAGCAAGCAGTTTCAGCATTACGCACGATCGGGAGGGCAAACTGTTTGTCCCCCGAGATCTACGCGCAAATAACCCAAGAGCACCGATACTCCCAAAACATTTACCCTGATCCTCTGTCGACGGTCTTTTTCTCGGCGTGGTCAGCGCCGTTCGGCAATCCGAGCGACTCCCGTGCTCCGCGTTGTCCGAGTCCTCCTGTACGCTCGTTGTCAACAAGTAGTCGTGGTTCCCGTTATGATCCACAGTCCCGGTCGAGGTATCCCGTTTTGCGTGAGGCGGTCTGGTGTAAAACTCCGGCCCCTCTTTCGCGTCCACCTGTCGAAGTCGTAATTCCATTTTTCCTTGGACGCTTTCTCCATCTCCAGCATATGCTCCTTGACGTCCCTCGCGAACTCTTCGCGATCCACGGAGCCGAAGAGGTTTCTGCAGACCGGCGGTTTGGCGTGATCCGCCTGCCTCGCGTCCACCCTCTCCAGCGTCGGGCTTCCATTGGAGACGCGCACTTTTGACATTTTGCACGTTAAAGTTCGTCCCGAGAATCGCAGTCGCAATTCGAACCAGACGCTGTCTAACTAAGAGCGTTCCTACTTCCCGAGAAAGCCGAGCGAGACGCAGAGCGCACGCATAACAAACGCGCGAATGCGTGCGGAAAGACTAAGGCGCGTGGAAAACAAGTCATGAAAACAGCGCGCGACTCCGGTGCCGTCTCGTAGTAATTCCGAAGAAAAACAGACGAGTCATTCGAGTAGGCGAGCACCCAATATGGCGATCGCAAGTAAACTGGCAGGGGAAAAAAAGATTGACAGCGAAGGCTATTTAAACAGAAGACGCTTCTCATTGGCCGGCGGAGCGCGGGGCCCGCCCATCAGTGAAAAACTATACAAGTACTAGAGACTCGCGCTTCCCGCAGTCTCGTGTTGCCAGGTGCGCTTATTCTAAGCCAGCGACCCTGGTTTATGTGCTATTTGGTGCAAATGTCGTGAACCCTGGGACCCTCGAGATGATCTAAAATGAGACGCACGGTCATTAAAATTAGTGAAAGCGAGAAAAAAGGGAGGAAACAATTGAGTTATTTGAACTCAGTCCTTTAACTATTGTTTCTTTTGAAGAAGAAACCATTCTTTGAAGAAGTTGGCTTAATTTTAAAAGCGTGACCAGCAAAAATCACGGAAATGATTAAAATGCTGTTGACATTTCTTTGAGGAAAAATGCTTAGTTTTATCAAGCTGTAAAATATTTCAGAAGTCAGAGAGAGCTTTATTGATAAGTATGTTTACACACAAGGAATTTGTTGTAGGGTCACAAGCTTCCAGTACACAGAGCAACAAGACAGATATAATCAAAATTAAGATGTGAATAAAATACACACATGTATATATAAATAAACTAAATTTATGTAGAACAATAAATTGGAAAGTAAAATAAATGTTGTACAGATGTGCTCTAAATAAAATAGAATAGGAAAAGAATAGAATAAGATGTAGGGATGTACTAGGATGTAGGGTGGTAACAAATAAATAGAAGGTTATTGCACATGTTTTGTAATTGTTCATGAGGTAGATTGCCTGGGGGAAGAAAGAAACAATTAGAAATATTGTTTTCTTGTAAGTTGAGTAAATGAATAAATTACAGAAATCCAGCAAATCATTTGCCCTTAAATTAAAATGTAGTTTGAAAAAGTTGTGCAAATTAAATAAGGGACGTATGGCTTTTAAATATTGTTATGGAAAGCGAGAGCCTTAGCAAAAGGTTTACAACCTTTTTCACTTGCAGTATGAAATGTTGATCTGGCAACACAGCTGCAAATTGTCTAAAATCAGCAATGCTAAATGTGTCATCAAGGTGTTAAAAAGATAATAGCAAAAGTTTATAATGTGCATGTGATAAAGCTGTAATGCACAATACGGTGTGACTTGTTATCTCTGCCAAGTCTGAGGTCATAGTTGGCAGGCAGCTTATCTGTGGCAGACTTTGGCATTACCAGTAGTAAGTAGCTGAAATGTTCCAGGCTCAGCACCACCTTTAGACTTTCTTTTCAAGAGCATCTCTCTATTCGTGTGTACGTTTTAGCGTCACCAGTGAATCGTGTTGGGTTCTGTGGAAAAGTTTCAATCTATGAATATCAATGTCACACATTAATATATGTTCACTGCTGGTCCTCGATGTATTTAAAAAAAAAAGAAGACATGATGATATTTAGTAATCAGTGTGTATAAAAAAAAATTGTATTTACTTTTTTATAGACTTGCGCTAGAAAAGGAAGTTTTGTGTGTAATGTGTTCATTGGAGGAAAAGTTGCTGCAGTGTTGGAACATGATGATATTTAGTAATCAGTGTGTATAAAAAAAATTGTATTTACTTTTTTATAGACTTGCGCTAGAAAAGGAAGTTTTGTGTGTAATGTGTTCATTGGAGGAAAAGTTGCTGCAGTGTTGGAAGACACATGGCTTCACTGCCGTCTAGTGGGTGAACTCGATGGTGTGTAAAACCTCCATGAAGTGGGGGGGAAAAAAAAAAACCTGTGGGCATCTACAGAACAAAAGTTGTTGAGTAGGTCTAAATGTAATTCATTACTGTATAAATGGTGGGAGTTTGTAAAAAAACATTTTTTGGACCAAAAATAAAGGGGTTCTCTGTCTTGAAAGGAAGAAGTGCATAACCACTTCTGGTCACCGTCTTGGAGGCCGGGGGGGGGAACCACGGTCATGGTTCCCCTTCTTTCTTCGGGTGCTATCATCACTCTCCTCTTCACTGTTGTCTCACCACTTTGTTTGCCATTCCACTCTATGCTCCATCTGGTCAGCTGTTCCATTCTCCAGCAATGCCAATGCTCCATCGTTGGTCTGGTCAGCCATTCCACTTCGGTTTCACCTTCTCTCTGGTCTGCTCCTCCTGCTCCACCCTTGGTCTGGTCCTGTCAGCCACTCCTCTCTGGTTCCTCTGCTCCATCATCTCTCTGGTCTAGTCTGGTCCTCCAGCTCCTCCTCTGCTCTGCCCACTGCACTTGATTAATTGTGGAGATCTGGCTGGATTTGAACCAGGGACCTCTGGCATTGTTTGCCAGCGCTCAGACTGCTGAGCCACAGATCTCCAGCTATGCATGTGCTGGAACTTATACTTCACTACGTACCTGTGGTTTTTGCAACTGAGTCGGGTTTAGTCAGGCTGAGCCTCAACTTATAGCCAGAAGGATCTGGAAGGAGGCAGGGCCGGAGGTGTGGTGTAGCGGTATGTTTGCATGCTGATGCTCACAACAGGTTTGCACTCCAACAACCGGTTCGAGACTCACCTACATCATCAGACATGAATATATCAGTCATTTCTCTTTTCAGCCATCAAGTAATAGCAACCGATGACATAAACATCATTTATTCTATAGTTGCTACATGTGACAAGGCATTTATCACCATCATAACACTCATTTGTAAAACTCAAAACAGTAAATGACAGCACAGAAATGATTTGAATCAAAACATGGTTTGCTGCCTCCAGTTGCGCAAGACAAACACAAATATAATAAAACAAACAAATAGTTAATATTGTGTGTCTAGCCAGATGGCTCACTAGTGTCCTGACTAAATCAATCTAGCATCATGAAGAGGACGTCTTCTGGACACTCTTTTTCCTCAGCACCTCGTTCTGAACCCGTTCTGGAAACTGCCAAAGGTGGTCCCGCACACAGGGCAAACAAAAGCGCTTGGTGTAGAACAGACTGCAGTCCTGTCAGAAAACAAACACAAAAACACAAGCTTATTGATATGTTGACATTGCTTTCAATAAATGTATATCATAATGATCCCGATGCTGCCATCGTTGTTCTTCACTGCGTGCCGTGCAAGCATAAAAATATTGTTTGATCTATATCTTCAGAATTTTGAACATAATGGAAGAGATGGAGGATCATTTCTATACATTATTTCTTTCATTGAATCATTCAAAAAGGAGGAAAACTAACAGCCTATTGGAGAGTCATGTTTTTTGTTTCTTATCAAAGCTACACGTACCGTTCCCACACACACCGTCTTACTGCACAGACAGCACTTGGATCCTAAAACCAGAAACTTTTCTCTCTCTGGGCTGAAGGGATCCTTCATGCCGTAACATTCCTCCAAGAGCCTGCAGGACAAACGACAGCACAAAAGCCCATCTCAATCAATGGCAACACATCGTGCAATTATTCAACCACATGCCTTGGATCAGATATTTACATCAAAGTACAGAGTGTTAAATGGCCTACTACAAACATACTAATAAGCTTTCTGTCCTTTCTGTGTCTGTTGCGATAAGCACTGACTTCAGGAAACACGTTTTACAGTTCAGGTCGTGGAAACACTGTCAATTGTTAGACGACATCATCTCCCACATGGGACAAAACAGAACACAAAGATGATTTCATATAAATAAATACATATTAAATGCAAGTGTCTGCTTTAATGTTTCAAATAACATTTGGGAAAATGAAATGGATCCAAAAATGGGTGAAAATGTCCCACTGTCATTCTGCATAACAGATATTTAGGTGCAAATTAAACAACATACTTATTCTAACCGGTACTTATTAAAATATATAAAAGTAAACACTACATTTTATTATTCTATTTTTTATTATTCAAATCGTCTTGCTAACTAATTAGTAAAATCTAGTAGTTTGAAGATTGCTGGCAAAGATTGATAAAATAGACTCTTTAATGTCTAATGATTCTTGTACTAAATATGTCTATTTATAAAAAAAAATTTAGTGTTTACAATATATTTTCAAAAGAGTTTCACTGAATGTTCAAGTGGGTGTCCTCTGTAAATCACAGTATGAGTCTGATTATATATATATATATATATGAAGCTACGATCAAAATTTCTATTGCTTAATAAAAAGACATGGCTCTCCAATAGGCTATTGACTTTCCTCAATTTTGAATGATCAAAATTCCTATTGCTTAATAAAAAGAAGTGACCGTAGCTTCATACCAAAGGTCTCGTGGTTTTGCTATAATACCAATATTATTATTAATAAAACAAACAAACAAACAAACAATATTATTATCAAGCTCCTATAGTGCTTTGTGATGTTTGTGATGTGAATGTTCAATATTTTGCTGCATGGTGTCATTCAAAGTCAAATCACTTCATTATATACGAGCACACAAACATCGTACGATCAAAAAGAAATGCTTTACACTAATTATGTACTTCATGAACTGGATTATTTAGAATAGTACCGACCTTTGCCAAATGTCACCCAAGTTACTCTGACAGAACACGATTTTACAGCGTGTCATTTTCCTAATTTTACTTTACAAAGTTTATTCACAATATGTCCACGTGTCAATAAGGTTACAACATTAAATCATATCAAAAAGAGGGAATATAATAAGCAAAAAATAAAATGTGCAGCTGGTGATAGTAAGAAAATGTGGAAAACACAAAAGAATGTATAGGAATACAAATAATTTTCAAGGGTGTGTGGAAAACGAGGGACAGTTTATCATTAAACCCTTAGATATAGCTAATTATTTTAACACTTTTTTTCATTAATTAAGGTGAATGATTTAGCATGTATAGCAACGATTTACAAATAGTGTGTAATCCTATTGTTAAAATGATGAAAGATAAAATGTGTTGTTTTAATTTTAGTCCCATTGATCAAAATACAGTAGAACAGATGTTGCTTTCAGTTCCAGATGACAAATCTTGTGGAGTTGATTTTTTGGATGGTACATTTCTGAAAATAGTAGCTAATCAGCTCTCTCAACCAATTTGTCATGTATTTAATAGATGTTTGCTTAGTGGTGTATGTCCGAATCTTTGGAAAAAATTTAAAATTATACCATAACTTTAAAAAAAAAAAAAAAAAGGGAAAAACTCACTTTTCAGATCCTAACTGTAGGCCAATTAGTATACTTCCTATTCTGAGCAAGCTCTTGGAGAAGATTATTTTTAAGCAAATTTTACAATCTTTTAGAATGAATGGATTACTTACTAATTCACAACATGCTTACAGACCAGGACACTCCACAAGTACCGCTCATACACATGACAGATGAATGGTTAGCATGTCTAGATGATAAGAAATTGGTCGGTGCTGTTTTAATAGACTATACAGTAGCTTTTGATGTTATTCACCATGATATTCTTATTGCTAAACTAAAATGTCATGGTTTTTCACTCACAGCTCTTGATTGGATTGGAAGTTCTCTTTCTAATAGAAGACAGACAGTGTTTTATAATGGTTCTTTCTCAGAGGCTAAAAATACCTATTGTGGTGTTCCACAAGGGAGTTGTTTAGGTCCATTACTGTTCTCTATCTTTATAAATGATTTACCATATGTTGTTGATAAGGCAAATATAGTTATGTATGCTGATGATTCTACAATGTTTTCTGGGTCAATATCACTGTAGGGTGCCTTTTGGTGTCCTGTACATAACTAATTTGCCATAATAACAACATAAAAATGACTATGAAAGGGTGTGTTATATTAGGCTAAGTTGTTAGATTCATAACAAAAGCATTATTTGGCTCTTTAGATACAATTTCTAGATTTTTTCTAGAGGATGCTTGTTATTTTGCTATATCCCATGCACTGCTCGTTAAATTTGAATGAGAGTAGAATATAGTCCAGGGCTGTCCAAACTCGGTCCTGGAGGGCCACTGTCCTACAGACTTTAGCTCCAACTTGCCTCAACACACCTGCCTGGATCTTTCTAGTATGCCTAGTAAGACCTTGATTTGCTGGTTAAGGTGTGTTTTATTGGTGTTTGAGCTAAACTCTGCAGGACAGTGGCCCTCCAGGAGCAGGATTGGACAACCCTGATATAGTCAAATCATAAAATGAAAAAAATGTTGTTCTCTATTAATATTTTGCTAAATTTTTGTTAAACTCAATTTGAGTGTATTGATCATTTGGTAATAAAAACAATATTTTTATTTATTAAAAAAGAAGAGTTTGTCTATGTCCCTTGAATGGTTGTCCACCCTGTCGTATTGGGGAATCCGCCCCTTTAAGAAAAGGCCATCCACTTTAGTGACATCAAGACAACAGATTTTTTGTCTCTTCGGTGGCGGGAATTTCAACCGATGAGGTGAAATTTGTTGGTGACTTTTCAATTGACAAATTTTCTTCTTATGAGTTTGTTTACTTGCTTTGCCAAAGCTTAACATGTCCACCCTGTCAACATAAACTATGCCAGAAGTGATTAGAATACAGTATTTTCAAAATATGTAAGTTTAAATATACCAAATTCTCTTCAACAACCAGACTAACTATTTAGCTAATCACACTTTGTTGTAAGCTAATATGCTAATTGAAGCTCAAAATGTCCACCCTGTCGGCCACTTAGACATGACAGGGTGGACACAGCCATAGGCGGAAATCCCGGGGGGGTCGGGACCCCCCATCTGAGGATTGTACCCTCTTAAAATATGATTAAAAACCACGCTGTGTATTGTAAATAACAATGTTTTATACTTTAAATAATCGTGAAAGTAGTAAAACAACACAAAAGGGGCAAAAATGTGTTTTAAGTTTAGAAACATTTTGAGTCTACCCCTCCCTTGCCTCACAGTGCTTTGGTCCAAATGCCTGCTTTCCTCTTTTACATCACCTGCACACAAGTCTGGTGAGAGAGAACAAAGTTAATATTGTGGAACTCCAGTAAGTAAGGCTGTCTATTTTATTCACTTAAACATCAGATGAAGTGATTATTTTCTCTTTATGATGTATTTTTCGATGAATCCGCTGTTAGCAACAATAACGTCACCTGCTTGATGGAAAGGGTTGCCAGGTTTTCACAACAAAACCTGCCCAATTGCTACTCAAAACTAGCCCAAACTAACCACGTTTCGAGGGGGTCCCCCGGTAAAAATCGCGCTCCATGGACTAAAATACACGTTACTGGGGTCACTTCAACCCGCGGACATGAAAAACAACCCGCGGCAACAGTGATAAAGTAGCCCAATTCCACGTGAAAACCGCGGACTTGGCAACACTGTGAAGAATAGTCATGTCTACAACGGACACAAGCGCTTTTGCGGCGCGACAACAGCTTGAAGTTGTCTAATTTGGCACGGTCTCCCTGCTACACTAATAGTAGTAAGGCTTTCCTCTGTATATAAATATACTTACAAGTACAATTTTAGCTGAATTATTTGTGTCCCCTTCAAAAATTGCTCTTGAGAAATTTTATGTCTATTGTCCCCCCCCAACTATTAGACTAAATTTACGCCCCTGGACACAGCATTCTTTTGCAGATAATATTGCAATTTATAGAAATGTAATATTGTAATTTATAGAAAGATCTGCTGTAGATAATATTTTGTAACTTATAAAAACATCAAATCATTGCTCTTTCTCAGGACATGCCTCTGAATGCAGCAGAAATTACACGGCAATACAGAAAACATTGGGATGCAAACCCCGAACGAAGAGAAGCATACCTTAAGAAAGAAAGGGAGATATGGAGGAAAAATAGAGATACAGGGAAGAAGATGGGTATTAATGACCTCACTGAGAGAGGAAAACCTGCTCAAATGAAAAACAAATGGAGGGAGGCAAAGAAAGCTGCCAGAGCTAAAGCCAGAACAGTGGAGTTGTTATAGTTATTGTTTGTGAATGTATATCTAGATTTCTTTTCAGAAGTGTGTTTCGCTCTATTCATAATGTGGTATTTACATGGAGTTTTTAGTTAAGATGTACTGAATCTATATGAATTTAAAGCAGCACTATGTAACTTTTGGCGCTCTAGCGGTTAATAAACAGAACTGCACACACACTCTGCTCCGGTTCAGAGACACGATAGCACGGAGCGGATCGGCGCGAGTCGGCGCAGACCACAAAATGTATCGGAGCTATTTGAATTCTACACAGAATGCAATATTTTATAGCAATATGGATGAGATTGTGGCTGGCATACCCTGTCAAATGCGGTTTTACGGAGCTCAAAGGCTCTGAACGCCTCTAGCCCAAGCTGTGATATAAACGAACGCTATTGGCTATTTTAAAAAGGGGCGGGGATGCTTGATTGGTCCCGCCCTGTCTTCCTGCTTCAGTTAAAATGACGTCAACACAGAGTAACGCTGCATGTTTCTAAGCATTTCAGGGGACCTTTAAGTAACACCATGA